GGCAGTTTTTGGCCTCAAACACCCTGGCCGTCATCCCGCACCCTCCTTATTCGTCGGATTTAGCTCCGTGTGACTTCTTCCTCTTCCCCAAGATGAAAATTCAGCTAAAGGGAATGAGATTTGAGACGATAGAAGAGATTCAGGCAGAATCGCAGATGGTGCTTGACAGGCTGACAAAGAAAGGTTTCCAGGGATGCTTCCAGGCTTGGCAGCGGCGCTGGGATCGGTGTGTTCACTCCCAGGGGAACTACTTCGAGGGTGATGGATGAATTTAATACCTGAGATAAGTGTACGGGTTTTTATACGCGCAGTCTTGAAACTTTCCGATCGCACCTCGTATAACTGCTCCATGATTTCTAACATGCCAGAACCCAGGTTTCCCTTGCTCATATGATTCTGTTTACACCCTCAGATCGTGTGTTCTCCCGTCGGACACCAGCGACGAACGACTTGCAGCTGTCTTTCGCGAAGCCCAAGTCACTGGACGTTTCGAGGTTCTTGAGACTCTCTGGTTATTATCTGGGCTAAAGGACGAAAAATTGGCCTGCAGGAAAAGCATTACCGGTATAATCGAAAAATACAGAACAGGTGAAAGCTTTGTTGTGCAGGTAGCTGCTGAACACATTAATTACTCGAAGGTGAAGGATGCCTCAAAGCGAACACATCATTGTTCCCTGGTCGCGGGCCTGCACTAGAATAATACTGTGATTTTTAAAAACAATCAATCCACTCCCAGTAAGTTTCATACTAATGCACTATTCACTTATCAAATCTAAAACTTCTTGACGATGGTGAAGAGTCAATTGAATAAAAATTTCCTTTTCACTTATTTAAAACTGAGCTGTATATTACTATGGCAGAGCCTTCGGCGAGTTTACTTGCGGCCTGCATGTTCTACATTGTACGAACATCATCGCAGAATTTCAGCAAAGCTTGTACCGTCGATTCTGTCGACCCCAAACATGAACTTCGTATTGCCGTCATCTCTGTATTACTGATAGCGGAAGGCCGGCCTCTGATGAGACATGATGTCGTTCCAAATTCCGTA